TAAAATAATAAGTGTCCGTCATATGGCTATCAGTTATCTGTTTTAATTGGGAAAACAACGAATGGTATAATCATGTATTCAATTCATCATATTATGTAGGTATAGTTAATAAATTAAGGAAAATATTTAGATGTAACAACTGAAAATATTAGCCGTGTCAACGTTTATAATGTAATCAGCCATTGCACGGGACAAAGGCAGCTAATGTACCTACTAATGCATGTAACTATGTGAGCAATCAGGTTATAGTCCAATAAGTGAATAGCAGCTAAGCTTCTATTCACATTACTACAGTAGACCAGGATTACATAACATAACATCGCGCCTTTTATTCCTGAATCAACAGGGAAAGAAACATTATAATTGGGATGAAAATTAAAAATCTAATTAGTCCGTCAGTTAGGTAATGAAAAAATATTAGACACGTATCTTTTTATTTTGTCGTATAATAAAACAATACTTAGATAAAACGAATCAAAGTTTAGGAGTGGGGGCTAAACCGTCATTTCTACGTATAAAATGTACATAGAAGTGACGTCACGCGACATTTCAAATCGACGATATATCGTTGAAAGTATTCGTTTCTGTAAGAAAATAAAAAATACGTGTCTTATTAATTGAAATAATCTACCAGACGGGCATTAAAATAAAAATTAGGCATCTACCCTATTATATGTATGAGAAATATGAGGATTTAGAAAAAGAACTCAAATTTAGGTACATTTAGCACCAATATTTTTTTATTTTTCTATTTTAAACCTCAATTACGAGTTTCATTTGATCTATCAAGGCACGAGAAATAAAAGGTCTCTATTATCATTATTGAAGGGATTATGTAACAATGGCACATTAAAACGATCAATTTAGAATGTTTACCATTCATGATTCTAATTTAACTGATCAAATATAAAGGTCCACAAAACCTTGAACCTTCAAACGATGTTTATAAGAGTGAAAATGGAATCTAACGTGTGTGAATCTTATAACATATACATACACACAACATAATAAGGTGGGCCTTATTGTATCTACTGTTAATAAGATACATCTGCTGTACCCATACAGCCTCAGTAAATAAATGCCAGGTAAACCCTTGTTATACAAGTAATTAAAAATAATTCCGTAAAACGAAAGGAGTCGGTTTGCTATCTCGGACTAGTTTTGGAAAAAAACTTTTCTTTCATTGAGCATATTAAGGCTATTAGTGAGAAAGCCAAAAATAACTTCTATGCGCTGACGCGAATTTCAAAAGCCACCTGGGGTCTCTCTTTTCTTACGCTCAGGATCATATACGGAGCAACCTACCTGGGATGTGTGTGCTACGGGGCATCTGTCTGGGCTGATAGGGCCAC